TAGTTTCCGCAACGTTTAGGCCTAGAGCAAACATCTTACATGTAATACTACTACGGTACTATTAATATGTGAGATATACAAACATGTACATGTATAAAAAAAATCCTCATACCTTTATCGTCTTCTGTCAATTCTGGACTCGCTGGGAATTCTGTATCTTCACCCAAATCCAAGTTTTGTCCCTGATCATTCCGAGCCTGTTGGTAGAACTGCTCTGTACCACGATAGACCGCCCCACTATCGTTGCTCAGATCTAAGTCTTGATAATAACCCTGTCCATGTTGTTCTGGGCCAGGCTGCCCTGCCGTTACATACATTGTCTCGGTATCGCCTGTCATGTCCGGGACCGTTCCGTAGTTGTTATTGCCGCATGCTTTGCCAGACTCTTTTGCTTGGTAAACGCCAGTCAAGAGGGCCTCGCGCTGTGGCTGCGACATGCCTAATTATAACTGCGACTGTACGTGTGACAGGCTGAATAAAAGTTCTAAACGGGAACTATGCGGCTCCGGGTGTCTTACTGAGGGACGACTGCGTGTGCAAAATGTCGGTTAGCTTGAAGAATGCATCCCCTCTACTATACACTGACTGCGATATTTTTACACACAGAACCGCCGGCTTTGGTACGTAATCCCTACCCGATGCTGCCGCCGCGCCGCGTGCCTGTCCAGCCTGCTGGTGCCTATTAAAGGGTGGTTAAGGGTCGTCACAGCCTACAAACTTTGCCAGCGAGTAGAGCGTATGTTTCGCACAAATAAATGAGTCTCTGCTACGACGTGTGACATTTCAACAAGCATTCATATTCAGGTGAATTGCCCTTTTTGATCTTTTACATTATCATAATAAAAAACATTGAAATTTTGAAAAAAAAAATTAATTTCGAGGTTTTCAAAATGCATATCTATGAAACAAGATTTGTTTGAAAAACCCACACACTTTGCGAGCCGAGCCGAGCGCATGTTTCGCAGAAATGAGTCTTTGTTAGAAAATGAGATATGTCAGCAAGCATACATATTCAGGTGATTGGCGCTTTCTGATCTAAAAAAACATTACAGTTTTGAAAAAAAGCCAATTTCGGCTTTTCAAAAGCACGTCTATGAAATAAGATTGGTTTGAAAAATCCACGCCAGCGATTCGAACGTATGTTTCGCAGAAAAATGCGATATTTCAGCAAGCATTCATATTCAGGTGATTGGCCCTTTCTGATCTGCAAAATTACAATTTTGAAAAATGCGATATTTCAGCAAGCATTCAAATTCAGGTGATTGGCCCTTTCTGATCTGAAAAATTAAAATTTTGAAAACAAAGTCGATTTCGACGTTACGTTATCTAAAGCACATCTATGAAACAAGATTGGTTTGAAAAAGCCATGCATTTTTTATATAATTTGAAAATACTGTGTGCAAAAAAACATCTTATGAGGAGGGGGGCATCTGATATGAGAAGTCATGTGGGAGGCCTTGCTGAGCTTATGTGTGGAAGTACAAAATGTCGCCAGTAATGGACAATACTACTAGTATAAGATGGGGGAGCGGGGCATATACAAGGCGAGCTTTGATAAGGCTGCACTGGCTCAGGTCCCACATGAAAATTCACCTCGTAACTAGAGAAGTAACATTTGCAAAGCAAATGCATAATGTTTACCTTCGGACATGGTCTGCCCTGTTAATATTTACTCAAACACATTCACATACATGTACTATGAGTATATGGTGACAGGAGCAGAGCAGACCATGAAGTTTGCAACATTATGTAACCCAACACCAGTCACCATGGTGACAGACGTCAACAAATCATGTCATTGGCCAGGTCAGAGGTTAGTGTTTGGAGAAGAGGAAATTGAGTAAAAACAATGTTTTCCTTCGGTAAACATAATAAGATGGGGGAGCGGGGCATGTACAAGGCGAGCTTTGATAAGGCTGCACTGGCTCAGGTCCCACATGAAAATTCACCTCGTAATAAGAAACATACTAGTAATATGCAAACCCCATGCAAAGCCCCCCCCCCCAAATAACTAAAGGTACGTATACGCATTGAAAATCACAAATGTAAAGTGTTAATGATCCTACTAGAGTGTGTTCTTATTGTTGTATCTCTGAGATTACAACGGAGTGATGTTACATGACAATGCAGTGCGCATTTTTTCTTAAAAAAAGAAGAAACCGTGCACTGGATATCATCATGGATATAGAGTCGTCGGATCAGACGGTTGGTAGACAGAGTTCAGAAATTGAGCATACACTATATGACATTCGACTTCTGATTTTATTTGGCATTCGCATTAAGCTTGACAAATCAGATATTCTTTCTTACTTCTAATACATTTAAACATGAAATCATTCATAAAATCATACGGGATAACCACAAGATCATGAATAAGAAACACAACTTGCTGCTGTTTGCATCTTAATCATTTACTAAATTTTAATGTTTAAAAAGTAAACATAAGTATCACATTAGGTGATCTTAAAACGTACACAACATCTCAAAACTTGATACTTTTTTGATTGATTGGGCGTCTAGATCGTCTCATTTGATTGTACATTAGATTAACTTGTACTGAAACGCACATTTCTGACATTCATATGGTAGACGCCAAAACAGCCCACGCGAGGAGCACCCAATGTTACATAATGCAGCTTTAAGGAGGTTATTGGTGAATAGAGGTCTCCTTGCACTGACTACATATTGAATATATATCCCATGCCCTGTACTGTAGCAAATATGTGCAGAATGTGTACTGTAAAGCAGGAATCTAATGACAAAATTTGTTTCAACCACAATATATAAACAGTTCCTGTCGTTTCACAGATTTCATCACTGTTTTAATCATGGGGCATTTGTTACATTTTTGGACCAAACTTAATATTGTTATATGATTCAATATCGTAAATTTATGATTAGAGCAAAACAGCACACACTAGGTTTGTCATTAAAAAATACCAGAATGTACACAAACATGGCTGACTGGGTTTCCATCTTTTAAACATACTCATAAGGCGTCATATTTTGGCACATCCAAATTCTAAATTTGTAAATGACCATAAAATTTACTTCTTTTTGTATCGTCAAAATGTTCCATACTGCAGATTTAATGCGTTATTGTATATTAGTATGCTGCGGTGGAGACTCTACTACATTAGGCCACAGCAAATGATATTTATGGATGACATCACCGCGCATTTAATTTTCGCCTGATTTTGAAAAAAATATATATTGTTGACTTTGACAACATTTTCTTTGAGGCATTGATGTATTTTATTCCTTTATAATATGATGTTTCCACTGAATCAAAACCATTTGTACAATGATAGAAAACTTTTCAAAATCGTTTCAGTGACAAATGGATGTTGTAATTGTTGGCAGTAAACATATCACAATATGGCTATCATCTCTTGTTTTTAAACAAGAAATGATAGCTATAGTGTGCTATGTTAAAACAAGGTTTATGGTGTCAAAATTTGAAAATGTATACGTAGGAATCTTCTTTTTATAGCCCGCCTTGTTTTTGTCGTCCTATCGCATCAAGGCAGCTATTAAGATGACCTCTGACCGCCAATGATATCGAACGGAAATCGATTTACGTTGATTATGATTATGTTTTGAAGTTATGATTCTTGTAAATTTCCTCAGTTCATGTTCGTATTATTCATTTATTTATGTATAACTTTCAGTTATACTGATTTTATTTACATTTCTTGTTATGTACTTTGTATAATCTATTATTCTTTTACATATTGTATTCCCCCTGGGCCTCCTTGGAAATCAGCTATTGGCTGAAGGGGCTACCCAGGTGTCATTGAGGATTAAATAAGAATTTAAAAAAAATTGGAGTCATCCATACAATTGACTTGCTGTGGCCAGAAAATCGACATCAAGGCATTGAATGCCTTTAAACGCACAACATTCAAATAATTAACTATTCAAACATTATATGCACACCTGGCAATTATAACGTTTAGTAAGTATATATATGATAAGTATATCGAGCTACACCATACTATCAACAACATCAATATTATATTTTGGATACATTATGATCAATTATAGTGCAACATATTACAAACTCATTCATGTCACCATGCGTAGTGCTGTTCTTATTTTACATGAATTTATATATACTAGAAGTTGCATAATGCATAATGTTTATCACAATTGTTTTTTTTCAATGTTGTTACATTGTGTTTCACGCTTTGAATGATTTCTAAAGAATGCTTTTGACTTTTGTGACTGTATTAATATATAAAGCAACAAACCCCAAAGCGTTTACTGGAACATTTTTACGCATTCATTATAAGATGATACGAAAATTTTGGATATTGCCAATATCAGCGCCTTTATATAGATCAGATTCAACGGATTAGAATTGTAGTGAATGAGGGAGGGAAAACAATAGGTATCTGGCGCTACCACGCATGCTTTTTTTTCATTTGTGCGGGAGGGGAATAGGTCCATTTTTGGTAGGGGGGATGTGGTGAAGCCATTTGCTGCATTTGCTCCCGAGCAAATGTACATAGGCCTTTCTAGATTTATATTGAATTTAGATGCTGTTATTGAAACAGTAAACAATATGGGTGTCAAATAAAGAAACAGGTGGTTAAAATTCGTGTAAATGTTCCTACCTTTATATTCCATGTGAGTGGGTAATGTAGCTTGGCAGTAGTTTTTTTAGCCCCAAACTGTTCCCGACATTGTTCACTATATCCTCGCTACGTCTTCGGTTTTCTTGTGTGAAACACAGTCATTCTTGGCCAGTTCCTCTCCCTAAGCTAGCTAGCCTGGTCCTGGTCGATTGTTTCACCCTGTTAAGAGTCAAACTATAACGACTGACTCCTTATTCCATTTCAGCCTCTTTTCCGCGACTTCACTCTTTAGGTCTAAAAGACTAGCGAATGCAATCCGAACTCAGGTACACTACTGGCAGTTTTGTTCACCGTGATCTTCTCTCCAAGCCAATTTCACACGTCCCGCAAAACGAAATGATTCGTAAAAAATGTCCTACATCAGATGAATATAACCCCGTCCGTCTCGGATTCTGAAGTTGGTGTCGAGTCGTGTGCTGGTTCGACATCGACGTTGACCTGACCTGGAATGGTGCATGTCACAGCTTCACCGCAGCGTGCAGGAACAGGTGCCGGGGCAGCGTGCACTTCAGCCCGCGTAGTAAGCTGCTTTGGTCGCGCGTAAGGGCCACTGGGCGCATGCTTGATGCTGGTGTCTGCCTGTGTTTCGCTCACCGTCTCCCGGTTTGTGGGAGGAAGGTTTGAAGCTTGGGTGAGAGAATGTACGACCGTGTTCATGTCCTGCTGCCGTCGTGCGTTCGGTGCCACAGGTAGGCTGGTCGGCAAGCCACACAGTTCCTTACAGGCTTTGCGAAACTCGGAGAGGCGAAAGCTGTAGATGATGGGGTTGGCCATGGACGACAGGGTCAGCATCAAGAGGAGGGCCACGCGGTCAGCAACAATCATGGTTTGGGATGACCTTTGGTCCGTACTGACCACACCTCGTACCATAGCGACCTTGAAGATGGCAGTGCCGGCGGACACGGTGAAAACAACAGCATGCGGTGCCATTGTTTTGAATGCCTTTGTCTGGAACAGCCACATGGTGCGGTTCTCATCCCTTGCCTGTTGTTTCCTGGCTTCCTTCAGGACGAAGTAGTAGAGTATGAGGATGGTGAAACCAGCGAGGATCAAAGTAATAATATTAACGCTTCTAAGGATGGCGGCTACGCTGGCACTGTTTACAGGTTCTAGCTCACACTGTAGGTTGGCATTAAGAGTGGGCAGTCCACCGAACACCACAGGTCCTAGTCCCAAGATCAGGGAAATGACTCTACTCGCCAGAATGCCGCCCATCACACGTTTTGTGGTGACTTTGTCGTGGTAGTAAAGGGGATGGCAGATGCAATAGTACAGATCTACCGACATCATGAGGTACGTACCCAGCATAGACATCTGACATGCGGGCAACAGCAGTCCTTTTGCCGAACACGACAGCTGTTCGCTACCGACGTCTTGCTGGAAAAGTCCGTAGATGTGGACGGGGATCAGGCAGCCGGTGGAGATGATGTCGTCTACCGCCAGGTTACACCGTAGGTAGTGGCTGGGCTTCTGCAGGTACTCTTTCTTCCAGACCAAGAATATCAGAAGCAGACCGCACCCTACCGACACTACCAGGGAGATGACCAGATACACCGTCTGTAGATCACGAGATGCTGGCCCAACGGCTAAAATATGGCTCGTACGATCCACTGAAGAACTATTGTCTTCTGCCATACTGACGACACCACACGATCACTTTGTAGAATGATCACCATATACAAACAAGACTACTGTGACAGTAAAACTCAACCCTCACGGGGATAATATAGGTGGTGACTGAAACTGTCCTATAATACGTTGCATCCCAGCAGACAGCAAGAATGCTGTTGGTTTCTCCGTAGCTACCTTTGGTATCCGATACTACGTATGAGATCCATTCAGTGGCTAACGTTTAATAATCATAGAAATTCCTGTTCACAGAAAGCGGTGACTGAACACAATGGCCTGTTCAAGCAATTAAATGTGGAATTCCATGCATGATGGAAAAATAAATTAATACTGCCGGTTTGCAGGTTTGTTGGTAGATACCTTTTGTATCCAAGGCTCTGCCTACGCATGAGAGCCATGCAGTGGCTGATGGTTTAATACATACTTCTTGTTCAGAGTTTCTTGAATGTATCTGATGATATGTCGTCGTCATAATTTTTTCATGGAGACAGATTAGAATTTGTAATAACTGTAAGGGTTTGTAATAACAGTTTGGAATGTTTTGTAGTTTGTGGACCTTTCATTAGATATTTGAGACCTGAGTCCTACAGAATCCATTCGTCACGTAACAGAAAAGGGTGTCTTAGGAATTTAACAAGCCACGTATCTGAAACCTTCCCGGTCCCCCGGGCCCGCGACCACCCGTCGTTATGCTGGGTTCACATTTCCAAGCCGGGGCCCGGCCGGGCTGTTTCAATTAACGACAAATCACCGATTTTCGTCAAGAATATACATTGATAGTTCCATTGTTGATATTTTTCAACCTTACTGTGCTTTGTTGCGTTTTATACCATATTTTTCGTTCCAAATGACTACCCGGCCGGGCCCCGGTTTCGAAATGTGACCTAATTATATATATATAAGCATGAGCCCATTTGTTTCTCAAATATAACTGCGTCAAGAAGCGAGAAGAAGCTGAACCTATAAATAGTAGATCACATTAGTACGTGTAGTATGTAAGTATCATTGCTGTATTCTTTTTTCCCTGTTTATCCACGACCTGTACTTAGCTTGTTAGAGCACAAACGTACAATAAAGGTCTTTCATTCATTCATTCATTGAATATCATAGTCATACATTTAACCATTTCTTTGCAGCATGGATGAGGCGTCGACGGTGTCACTGCCTTTTTCAGAGTTATGAGTGTGCTTATTGGAAGGACCTCAGATATCTCATGATCTAAGGGCCAGTGTTCCAGCCGCAATGAGTCAGTTCTTTTCTTGTACCTGGAAAGGGAGAAATTCTGCCGTAAATTAAAAAAAAATTGTACGTTGAATCAATTTGGTCTCCTGACAGCAGCCCAAGACAGGAAAGTCTGGCGCCATCTCTGCAAGGTTTGCCTTGTCCCCCCGATGAATAGTGTCGGTCAGGGGGCTAGGTAGGTAGGTATAATGATCCTGACTAATCATGTCAGTCACACATACACACGCCTACCCACTCACCCCCCCACCCACACACACACACACACTCAGACACACACACACTCAGACACACATGTACACACACATGCACACACATACATACATACACACACACACACACACACACACACACACACAATCGCGCACACACACACACAGATACACACAAATAAAGACACACACACACAGATATGCACACACAAAGCACACACACATACACACACTCATGCACATACATGTACACACACACACATGCACACACACACACTCAGACACACACATACATACATACATACACACACACACACACACACACATATGCACACACAAAGCACACACACACATACACACACACTCATGCACATACACACACACATGCACACACACACACACATACACACATACATGTACACACACATATATATATACATACACACACATACATACACACACGCGCGCGCGCGCGCGCGGAAAATAACTCGCTTCTGGCAGAAATCATTTTAGGATGTTCTACTTCTGCACAGGGTCGAACACTCCATTTTGGAACACTCCATTTAATGGGGGAGGGTATGAAATATGTTGTATTTGCTCCAGAGCAAATGCGGCCTTTCTAGTTTCTCGTGTTTTTCCCCTTCTCATACCATGTCGTTAATGGATTTAATTTCTTTATTGTCGGGCCAAATGACATGAAATTCGGTATGGAAATAGAGTGGGCAAATTCCCTCAGGTTTTTGTTTTTTGATACTGGCCTTTAAAGCGTTTTTTTTTATTTTAGATTTTACCATATATGGTATGCATGACCATATTTGGCACAAATGGTATGCATGACCATATTTGACATGCACACATGACCTACTTACTCATCAGTTCGGAGTAGTTTCTGTTGCTGATTGGCTGCTGGGCTAATATGATCAAAGGGTAATCACGACATACAGATGTTGTCTGGAGAGGCAATCTCCAAGCAGATACTGTGTGGCATCGACAGGTAAAGTTCAAGCAGATACAAAGCATTACATGAGGGTTTTGAGAATAAATGTTGATGAAAATGATGCGATCTCGAACGCAATTCCATGTTTGTGAAATTTGCGTCCTCGCCGCAAAAGCGCCACCTACATCGGCTACATATAGCGGCGAACTCCAGTCAGAAGCTCTGAAGGAGATGTCCGAGAAACACTGAAACGTAAGCAAGGTACGAATATTTTTTTTTATTCAACATAAAGGAGACAGAGTGGCACAGCACTCAAGTAACACTACTTATATTAACTGCGCCACTTAACATATGAATAAATTTACACAAACAAAACACAAACAAAATAACATTAACAGCAATGTTGACAATAACATAGATAATGAAAACGACTGATGTAAACGCAGGTGTGTAAACGACTGATGTGCACCAACTCCCCCACCCCCAAGTACTAAGGCCACACCAAGTAAATTTTATGGATGCCGTCCTTTGGAGACCCTAAATCTAATGCGAGAGGGCGAAAAAAAAAAACAAGAAGGGCCCTAAAAAACAAGATGCCTAGATTAGAAATATACTAAGAGACGACAAATGTTAGGACACAAATTGAATGAGGTGACACAGTGTAACAAGCAAGAAGTCTTTTATTCATCATCAAAACAGCAATAAATCAGGTGGAACAGCAGTGGTCGTCCTGTCCCGTTTTCGCGTTACGTATACGGGTTTCACGTCAATCTAACGATTTGCGGCACTGTCGTAACTCTTTAGTCATATACAGGAAGCGGAATTTCTTGGGGTTTTTTCTAGGAACAGGCGAAAATCAATGGGCGTCACCCATAAAATTTACTTGGTGTGGCCTAATTAAAAATAACAAGTGAATATTTGTGTGACACACACTTCTATATCTTTTCCACTGACAAACTCAGTCCAAAAGATCTAGAAGCGCTGAGGCTCAAAGATGTATGTTTGTGTTAGTAGCATGATTTTGGCATTTTGCTCAGCAGATAGTAAAGGTGAGCCTCTAAGGACAAGATGAAGTTTTGCAGTGTCAGATAAAGAATTAAAATCAAACAGGTAACTGATTTCCTTTGCTACGTAACTTATAACGTTGTGGTCACTTTATTCTTAACGTACCCCGATCCATCTTATAACGTTGCGGTCTCTTTATTATTAACGTAACCTGATCGATCTTATAACGTTGCCATCAACCTTAACGTTGCCGTTTGGACGTCGAGCGGACACTAACGTCGCCGTTCCAACGTACTTCATACATATTTCGTTTCATTTCGTTTCATTTCGTTCGATTTCGTGCCATTTCGCACTTTCTGGGGTCCCGTGTAGCGTGGACCATCGACTTTACTTGACAGGACTCTTTCGTGCAGCACTGAGTTCTACATTTAAACGTTAAAATGTCTTTAACTGCATTACTTTAAGCTTTTTGTGCTGTAAGTGCGTGACTGTACCCTTGTGGTAATGACTAGGTTTTACCGTCCACTGAACACAAAAGCAGTACACATACAGCAGTGGTGCAGCGGTCATTCAAGGACAGACCAGAAACGTGGTAAAAATTCATACACATCTGGAGTGCGCAAATGCAACAAGACAGGCAATGAAAACATACATTGCCATGGCGACGGTGGTTGCTGTTAGCGTTATTGTTTGCATGGCACTGCCATGATTTCATTATTTTAAGGAAGCCTTGGTACCTAGTCTAGATAGATACAGTGGGCTCATCCCCTGAGTGTATAGTGAACGAGCCCCAAGGTCTCAGAAAGTAGGGCCATCCGGGGCAGACAGGTTTCCAGGAATGTGGAATGTTCCAGGAGCGTATAAGCAAACAGAGCTGGGAGGCATTCCCGTGGACACTCTATGCCTGCGGATAAAACTCCTGTACAATTCCGAGAATTCTTGCGAACTGCACATAATACTGTACCATTAGGCTCCTCCCTGAGACGTCGCCAAAAAACGAATGCATTATGATTCTGACATTTCGTCACTTCAATCCCACTTAGGGATGAAGTGAAAAGGTAAGACGTGTTTGTTGCTTGCATAGAGATTGTATGGAATATCTCTTCCATACCGGCCGCCAAGATCAGTCCCGGTGTATAAGGTAGTTCTCTATTCTTAGAACACTGTAAAATGTCATTACAGTGAATGAACTAACCATTCAACACCTCGGAATGATTAGATTTTGCCCCCTTTGGCGACTTTCCTTGGTACTGCAGCGGAACTTCCAGTTTTGATAACTCGTGATCTTGACATGCTGGGGTCCCCGATCTTGCATGTTAGGAAAGACGTGATGTTCGTTAAGTCATACCGATACTCACACGTGTCATAGTGTCGTATTATTGAACGGAGGAATTTGTCATTTCGCCCATTTTACGTCCATATTTTCTACTTGTCTCATGAGTCTTTCTCGATTGCACTAAAACACTCCATGCTATACCTGGTACGTGGAAAGCAAGCAGTATATACCTAGACGGTTTTCAGGTTCAGTTCGTGCGGACTTTACCTCCGGTTCAGCCGCTAATGAAAGACTCCTGACCTGGCGTAAGCGGTGTGATTTCCGGGCGGTGGGGTGTGAGAGGACGGGCCGCCGGGAGTCCAGCACGCTCACGGTAGGGGCTCGACGTAGCTCTGCGTCACAACGTTATTATTAAGGCGTGGTCATTCGCCACAGGACGTCGTATGATTTTGATGGACGGTAGAATTTTAAATCGGACGGTGACAGAACAAACGACAAGGATGTAACACAGCCTTTTCCTTAACAAGACGGCTGAATTTGGCAGGATGTAGCCTGGTATCCAGTCTTACGTGTACGTGGTAGGGTCGTTTTTTTTCTCGGGGCTGTAGGAGGTCTGTCCCGCCCGCCTCAGCTAGGTTTCCCGGTGTCTTCACTATGGGAGACTGATTAGCCCTCCACGTTCGTGATGGGGGGAAACCAAATCCCGTGGTTATGTGGTTTTAAAGGTTGAAAAAATGACACAGTGTATGTATATGGTATGGCAAATAATCTAGTCTTCAAATTCATTTCTTTACATTCTTTACATACTTTCGTCTTTTTCGTTTGATTTTGGCATTTTACTACATTGGTATCGTTTTCCAATGTTTTTTTTTTCAACTTACGGTATTATATTTGCTCATTTTGCAACTGTTTTGTACGATTGAAAATGTATGGTTTTGTATTTTGGAAACGGTGGAAAATTCATGCGCGCGCGGATGTCATTCATAAAATCAAATCAAATCAAATGCACGCCTATAACCATATATATCGCCGGTACAGACCAGAAGACGTATCTATTAAGGCCAATTTTTCCACTCAGCGGGATCACTGAATGACCTAAAATTGGACTGTTGTCACCATGGTCACCAGGCGTTTGATTTTATCATAGTTTATTTGCAATTCTTGCCTGAGGGTGAACAATAATGAAACGTAGGAGAAGAGGCTATTCTAAGAAACTGTTACGGATATCTGAGCCTTTTGGGGGGTTTGACTTCTTTTTTTGGAAGCAGTGGAAGACGAAATGTCACAATTTAATGAGTGTGGGAAGGATTGTATTTGTCTTTATCGGGATTTTTACAGCGAATCTAAAAATACCGCGGATTGTCCATTTTCCCGAAACGGCGAACTTTAGGCCCCGCGCGAATCTAAAGATAATTACAGTAGTTTTATCTTTTCGTATAATTGGAACATGATGTAAGATGTTTAAGATCTACAATAACAAAACACCCAAAACGAAACAAAATCTGTTCTTTGTCTCAAGTTGAGCGATCTGTCTAAATATTGTTCGCTCAGTGGTCTCAGTCACTATTGGAACAAGTGCTTTTGAAAAACCTGGCATTTTGGCCAGGTTTGCCATGGATTTCTTCCCAGCAATAAACGTTGATAAAACAAAAGTTTAGGGTTGTTATGTTCAAGATTAAAATAGCAAGCACATTGACCAGTGCCTTATTTTTCAGATCAGAGCTTTGTTTCGTTTTCTCTTGTCTCCTCTCTTCATAATTATTTGCCATCCACGTTTCGGCATGATGGCAAGACATGCCATTTTGCCCATTTTCGGCATGTTGACCACTGTCAGGCGCGGCAACAAAATTTCTTGTTTTGCTTTTTTCTCTCCAAAATCAGACGAAAATTAATGCTCCCGCTGATGTCATCCATAAAAATAGAAATTTAGGCCGGACGCGATAAGCCGACCTCGCCCACTAGGTTTACGCTGACCAGTGCACGGTGATTTCCTTGTTTGGATCACGCGGGGACGCCTCGTTTGGATTGCATGGGCCACGCTCAAACTTTTCCAAAATTGACCAATCAGAGCCCGCAGAAATACATGTGCTTGCAACTTGCCCCTCTGTCCTCAAGATTTCCTGTTATCGAGGGCGGCTGTTCAGATTTACCTCCGTTTACCCGCACTCCCTTTTGTCTTTCCCGGGCTGTTGCCGAATTTCGGACTCTACCTTCATTCACATTCGTTGGTCACGTTCGGGACACTTCCTCATTGCAGTAAGTCGTTGTTTTGACCTCCTTTTTTGTTGTTTGTCCGAGGAGAGAATTCCTTGTTCGTCTAACAAACATGGCGGAAGGGGGGTGTCCCGTTACCTCCGCCACCCGGCGGATGTTGGTGATCGGCCATTCCTTCATATATCGTCTTGACTCTTTTGTTGAAGGG